CCACGGATGACCTGGATCCAAACTGTCTCAGCTCTCACCCAGGAAGCCTCAGTGTGGATGTTATTGGCTTCAGCTGCTCCTCCACTCACCAATTTCAGAGTTTCGGATCCTGTGTCCCTCAGAAAAGGTGCATGCTGGTCACCGCCATCTTGGACCACCTATTTATAGGGTCATGTCATATAGTTGACACTGGTCTTGACCTCAAGATCCTATATCTTGGTTCCAGCTTTTATGATTACAAGCAAGTGTCATTGTGCTGGTATTCCGTAGTTGTTAGGTCCAAAGGAAACACCAATTCTTCAAATTCCAAAAAGCAGCACAAATATCCATAAATGGGCTCAAAGTGTAAGATTTTTGGCAGTTAGATAAAATCCAGCATTCCTCTGGAGCTTGTGAAGCTATTTTTCTCTACAACACTATCTTTTGTAAAATAAGGTCTGACCAAAATATGAGACCCTGTAAAGTTGTCCATAGGCACACTCTTGGCTCCTTTAGTCATACCTCTTGGGGCTGGCTAGGGAATCAGAATCAAGCCTGTTTGGGTCTACTTCTCATAGTGCATGGGGATGAGTGCTTGCACTCACAGTGGCAGCAGTAGTTGTTGCCACCTCTGCTTTGGCCAGGTGAGTAGGTGATCCGTGTACTAAGCAATACAGATTCCCATTGGTTCCAGTCGATGTGTTTGCTAATGATTAATATAGTAGTTAAAACATATTGGCAGAACTGTTACAGGATCTTTAAATATGTGAACATATGCAGCACTGATTTTAAACTTGAACATATTGGCATGATACTTTTCAAATGTCTAGATACATGGGAGAATTTTTATTACATATTTTCAAATTTTCTGTTAAGTCTTATTTTAGTGATTTCTTTTATTGTGCCTTATAATTCTTAGAAATTAAAGTTCTGCAAAATCTCCTATACTTGGTTTTAAGTCCCTGCACATATAACCATATATTTAGTCTTTAATTCTATCAGGATGACATTCAGAAGTATTGATAGGCTACTTCTGGCTCAGTGTAAGAGCACAGCGATTATCCCGAAGGATGTTGGAGGAAGAGTTAGATGTTTTTACTTACTTCCTATTGTGGATTTATGATACATTTCTTTGTAACCCCAAAATAGTATTAATAGTTGAAAAGACACATCTTACATTATTTAATGATTCAGGCTCATCAGGCTTGTTCCTGATTTCTTCCATAGAGGAAATGAACTTCATCCAGAGTTCTACAGAATGTAAGTACTATTCACACTAGCTCATTTGCTGGAAGTGTGCATAGCCTGTGAATACCAGTGGCTTCACAATTCAATCCAAAATAAGAAATGAATGTCCTCTGTAACTGAGTTTACATGCACACCCAAACACATATAAGAATTTAACAAAACTGGCATTTTTTTCTTATGATCCATGCTGGCATTTTCTGGCATATATATATATATATATATATATATATATATATATATATATATATACACACACACACACACACACACACACATATATATGTATATTATATAAAATTTTTATATATAAAATAAAATGTATATTATATAAAATTTTTATATATAACATGTTATATATGTTAAATATATAAATATGTGTTAAATACATATATATTTATGATGTATGTATGTATGTATGTATGTATGTATGTATGTATGTATGTATGTATGTATATATTTAAATACCAGGCACAAACTAAGCTAGTTCCTGGCCTATTAGTACAAAAATGGGAGGCATATTTCCATTTGAAAAAAATCTGGTTTGAAAGAACTAATAGACTCTTTGTTAGCTGGCTTAAATATTATTTGGGCAAGTTTGTTGGCTCTAAGGTTTTCGGAATGTTGTCTTTTCCTCTCAAGAGCTGTTGTTAAAGTCCTGCTGCAAACATGACACTTTAGCACCAAGGACATAAGTTCCTATAGCCATTTTTGATTTTTTTTGTTGTTGTTGCTGTTTTGTTGTTTGTGGTGTGTTGGGTGATTTGTGATTATGTAGGGACCCAACAGTATAGCTCGAAATTTAAAGGACACAAGCCACATTTTTGAGACCTCTGTTTGTCCCCACTGCTTACTGTTTGCTGAGTCTGACCTTTCCTCTTTCACAGGTCTGCACTGGGTCAGGCTACAGGGTAGGTTACTTTGTCTTATACTTCTTTTTGTGAACTCACATCAGAGACTGTGAAGTGGGGAGGGTGTGCAGGAACATGGGAACAGGAAATGAATGTTCCCTCCTAATACACGGGCAGCTCTGAACACTGTGAAACAGGAAATGCACACCTCCATTTCATGTCTTTGCGACACTGCCAATAAAACTAAAGGTGCTTGAGGTTGCCCCATTCCTTAGTAAAGAAGTAGGTCAGTCCAAACCCAGCCAGATTCCAGTGACTCCCATTGGCTTGTTCAAAGTTCTCAGACAGCAGACAAATCTTGGAGGCATCATTTGTGTGTGTTGATGAAGCTTCAGAGTATGAGCCACCTTAACTTACCTGTCCGTGGACCTTGTACGTGGTAAACCTTCTCTGCAGCCAATACTTAATGCAGATCAGTAAGCAGATGTAAGATGATGTGATTCTAAAAGGAGACCAGCTTTATGGTTGTAACTTACAGGACTTAGAGCCTGAAAATAACAATAGCAGCAGCTATGCTAGACTGCTACCCTTGCCACACACTGTCTGAAGCCTTTACTCTCTTTTTCTACTCAAACTTATAGTCTTATTTAGGACTCAGGAATAAGTCCAATAAGATCTCGAAATAAGTCCAACTCTGGCTACTGTGCAGAGGATGAAACTCAGTAGCGACAGCCTAAGAAGTCAGGATGAACCCTGGCCCAGGAGCTCCCAGGGCCAGACACTGAACCTTGTGTAGGAACTGAAGGTAGTAAAAAAACCTGTAACCTGTTTTCAAATCATTACATCTGTTCTGAGTGGTAAGGATAGCGAATAGTTAGAGGGCCGTGCAACATTGCAGTTTTATGATTATTTGGCTATGTTATGTATGTTGAAAGGAAGAAAAGAGTCCTACAAAGCATAATAAGGTTGGAATCTACACCAGTCTATTAGAGGCTTCTAGAGCTCTCACTACTCTGTGAGAGCGAAAGCCTGGCAATGCCTCAGAGTACCTGTGGTTGGCTCACACAAGTCCCTTCTGGACCAAAGTGCCCTGAGAATGTGCTTCTTTGGCAGTGTCTTAGTCGAGTTAGTGAGGATGGGGAGTTAGTGAGGAGTACTTGGGGATGGGTCAGGTCCTATGAAGGTCCCATAAAAATTTGTAAGTGTGGAAGAACTCATGTCTGTCTACTATGTGGGGAGAAAGGAAGACTTTATAATTGCCTACCACACAGAGCATGCAAGCCTCCTAAGTAAAAATGGGAGTGGGCAGTAAAAAGAAGGCTTTGTCTTGTAAGAATGCTGAGATATCTGCTAAGCTACAGGAGAGGTCAGTTCATTACAGTAAAGACTGCTCTGAGGAAGAGGCCACAGTGAGAGGGATATTGCCTTCAATGGCCTCTGAGCCTTCTTACTTCATGAGATGTCCTAATCAGTATACTAACTTCCGTGCTACAGCTGACTAAAGACATGATGGAGTGGTAAAAGTTTGCACTTTTCCACAAGAAATATACATGTATTGTCATTGACTGTTGGAATATGGCTGAGGCCCTGCCCTCAACACTAGAATTTTCACTACTGTCAGAACCCCTTTGAAGTTGTTATTTGATGTGTACTTCAATTTAAGGACCTGTTGCCAATAGCTGGCATCTGTTCCTGCATCAGGAGAAATGAACTCTGCTACTTCAGCAAAAGAGATTACTGTGGATGCTGCTGTTCCAGCGAATGGTGCCATCTCAGCATGTGCATGGCCTCCCTCCAATGTCAGAGCAATCAGACTGTGGGAACCCTGTGCATTCCCAATTAGATGCAGAGACATCTCTGCAGCTGAGTCTTCTGAATGGAAATGTGGCTCTCTGAGATGCAGCTTGTCTTTGTCACTTGTTCAAAGTATTCCCCAACTTAATCTCCTAATATTATAATAGCATGTCTAATTATTAAGAAACTTTTGAGCATAACCCAACATACACATGGTAATTTACAAATTCTGTATCCATGCACATTTTATAAGCCAACAAAAAAAGAACCATTTTAAAAGGATAAAAATAGAAAATAATTTTAAACACTTTTCACATTGGGTAGGGGGTAGTTCTGAACCCTGGCATGTTCCTTTGTTTGCTCCCTGCTTCTCTGCTGCACTCATGTCCAGGCTGGGATACTGTATCACATGGCCACTGCCTCCCAGCAGTCTTCAACATGTCCTTTCCCCAAAGAGAGCAGATTCTCTGGTGTAGGCAGAGGCAAAGGAGACTCCAATCACTGAGAAGACAGAAAGCCAGGGAGCTTGAAGGGGTCTGTAGGATAGATAGCCCAGCCTTGATTACCTAATACTGTTGAGTGGGTTTTTATCTGATCCAGTGGCCAGGGCCATCTGAGCAGTGCTGCTTATTGGCTACGATGGACACCAATCTTAGCAGCATTATCACTCTCTGTATCCAACCTGGAGTTCAACATGTTACAAAAACAACAAAAACAAAAACCTACTTTACCTGTGCTGACACACGTACAGCACACATGTTCTCTCTCATGTTCTTAGTCTTTAAGTAATATAGTGCAGCAGCTGCTCACATAGCACTTCTAGTGTCCTAGGTATTACAATTCAGAGGTGAGTTCAGACTATATGGAGAGCTTTAGTTGGTTATAAGCAAATACTACACCATTTCATATCAGGGACTTGAGCATTTGCTCGGGTCTGCTGTTAGAGTGTGGCACTGAGAGCAAAAAAATATTCTGTGGGCTCCAGGGATTTTCAGTTGTCTCATATATGGACAATGGGAATCTGCAACACCATCATTAACATTTGATTTACCGAGTTCCTGTGAGTTTCTTCCTGCTGTGGCCTTCTAGCTTCAGGCCACCTCCCTCGTGGCATGGTTCTGAAACAGCAGTCTGCAAGCCTTCCTCAGTCCAAGAAATCCAGACTGGCTCCTGCCCCAAAGTTGGAGAACATGTCAGCCTGGCCTGGCCTGCCGAAAGGAAAGAACAGCAAGAAGCAACTGAACATACTGATGAAATAAAACGAAAAATGAAAAAGACAGACTTAATGAACAAAATAGTGAAGAAATTTTGAAAGTAGAACAAAAATATAACAAACTCTGCCAACCAATTTTTCAGCTCAGAATTGATTGCCAAAATCCCACATTTTTATGTAACAACATTTGTCAACCATCCGCAAGTGTCCGCACTGCTGGAGGAGGATGAGGAAGAGGCTCGGCATTATTTGACCAGAGTTGAAGTGACAGAACTTGAAGACATTAAATCAGGTTACAGAATGCATTTGTATTTTGATGAAAATCCTTACTTTGAAAATAAAGTTCTCTCCAAAGAACTTCATCTGAATGAGAGTGGTGACCCATCTTCAAAGTGCACTGAAATTAAATGGAAATCAGGAAAGGATCAAGTCAAATGCAGAATAAGGCCAGCAGGAAACAGCAGTGCAAAGAGCCAAAGGGCTTCTTTACCTGGTTCACCAACCATTCTGATGCAGGTGCAGATGAGTTAGGAGAGGTCATCAAAGATGATATTTGGCCAAATCCGTTGTAGTGCTATTTGGTTCCTGATATGGATGATGATGAAGGGGAAGGAGGAGAGGAAGATGAAGGCGAAATGACTAGCACAGAAGACTGATGGATTCCAACTTTCTTTTTACTTTATTTTCTCCAGTCCCTGGGAGCAAGTTGCAGTCATTTTCCTCCCCCTAACCCTTGTGCTCAGTCGCCCTGTTTTGAGGTTTCTCTTAACACCATGGTTTTCAACTTATTTGGGGGGAAATAGCCTTGAGCAAAATACAACAGGAAAAGAATCTCCACTTTTCTGTTTTAAATTCATTTTTATCCTTTCTTGTCTAAAAAGCTGAATTCAATACCAACACTGTTCTCTGTGGGGGAAAAAAGAAGCCTCCCTCACCCCCAGCTCCCTTGGCTCTGCTGGAGGCTGGAAGGTGCTAGGGCCCTGTGGAGTAGGGCATAGAATTCTAGCTTTTTTCCCTTTCTTGGTGTATTGGGCTCAGAGTCTCTATGTGAATTCAGACAGTTAGCATTTACGAACATGTGTCTGTCTACTTTCTCTTGTTTAATAAAAAGAAAACAAAAAAAAGCAGGGTATATAGAAGGTCAGCAAAGGGTGGGCGTGAGGTTTCTGGGTGGGTGGGTAAGCAGGCATTTTGATACCATGGCGTCTTTTTTGGCATGTTTAATTTTGATGTTTAACAGACATCCTTGCAGTTTAAGGTGATACTTTTAAAATAAAATTCTCTCCTAATGGAAAAAAAATTTTTGATTTACCTTGTTTTGATGTTGACTACCACTGTTTTTTTTTCCAGTTTACATGTTAAAAGTACTTAACCATAATACTCATCTATTACATAAAAATAAAAGGAAGATTCTTATGCATTTGGACAAGTGTGTCAGTTTCCTGGATGTTTGTCAGACAAAGCTACATTTTAAGTAACACTATTTCTCATTTATTTCAAGTGAATAAACTCACAAATGCACAAACTCCTTTTTATGTAACAAAGACTACAGTTAGATAGGTCCTTATATTTCCTTTATATAATCCAAAGAACAGAAAGCAATGTAATTCTCAACCCCAAATTCACACAGCTCATCCAAAAACTAGGTAGACTTTTTACCCCTTTCTTGTTCTAGTCTTAGCTTTAACTTCCTGAACATGAATTCAGCATTCAAGAATTTTCTTTTGGTAGCAGGAGCGGCAGAGAGGACAGACATGGAAAGGAGCATTGTCTCCCACAGAAAACTCCTCCAAGGCCAGAAGGCAGGCATGGTGGAACACATGTGCACAGGACAGAAGGACTGTCGTTCGGGGATGCTGACTGCTAGTCTCTACAGCTGCTTGCCGGCAGTCACCATGGAGGGACAGTGGAGTCAGACAGATGGAACATTCATAGATCTCACGGTGAGCAGCCTGTAGCACAAAACATACACAGCTTTGTTATAGGACCCTTCTGTTACATTGTACAGTTACTCAGACCTACAGTAAGAACTATGTCTCAAGACATGGGTCCTCTGAAAATGGGCAGTACACTGAAAATCTTAAATGTTTAAGATGTAAGATATAGAGATTGTAATAAGCAATTTTTAAGCAAAAATACTTTAGAATTGCTGAGCATTAATAACATATATAGTGCCTTTTAATTGAAAGTAGAATATTATAGGGAGCTTGGTGGCAAATGCCTTTAATCCCGGCACTATGGAGGCAGAGGCAGGCAGATCTCTAAAGAGTGAGTTCCAGGACAGTTGGGTAGAGAGAAACCTTGTCTCAAAAAACAAAACAAAACCAACAAAAAACCAAAACAAAACAAAACAAAAAAAACAAAAAGTGGAAAATTGCTAAGTACTTGGCTGTTACTGTTAAAGTTTTAAAATGTTCCTAATTTTATGTTTTCAGCCTTTTTTTTTTTTAACTCCCAATTTAATATTTTAAGTTTTCCCTCCATCTTGGCTTCTAGTTGCTGCGAAGCCCTGCTTTCCTTCCTTGGGCTACTGCAGATGCGGGAGGAGGGCAGGAAAGCATTAGGCTTGCCCCTTTGGGTTTCCATTATTTGTAACGCCCACCACCTAGAACTAGTGCTTTAACATTTCAAAATCAAGGATCCCAATGGTCATCACTGAGCTCATGGCAAAAGCCAGGCCATCCCCATCCAAGCAGACCTCACCAAGGCTTCCACTCCTTACAGACCCATGCCTGCAGTCCGTTTTGCAGAGGGAAGCAGGAAGCTGGTCTGAAGCCTACCTGCTCTTGGATTTTCTCCCATTTCTCCTCAGTGATCTCACAGCTACATCTTTCATCTAGCTGCTGAAGAATGCTGCGATTTACAGCCATGCAGAGGTCAATTTCTGAGAAGAGTTCATCTATGTTGGTGTTATATGAGCACAGGATTCGGTGGCTGATTTCTGTGAACTGAGAACAGAGGCATAGATTGGCTTCCTGAAGGAGGAACTTGGCTTCTCTTCTCTCCAGAAGCTGTCCTGAAGTCCTACTGCAGTGTAACAGGATTGCCCTCATCTCTGAGGACACGGGGTCCTGAGAGGAATGGGCCAGGCCAAGATGCTGGTTTCACTGTCCTCAGTTGTCTCCTTTTGTCACCTTTTTGGGGACTATTCCACTCTTCATCAGTGAGTGCCCAGTTCACTGCTGCTTAGACACTGGTTTTTATTTGTGTAATAAGATGCCCATGTCACAGGAGACATGTTTATACTTTTCTCTTGCTAATTTGCCTCTTGTTGGTCTAATTCACAGGATTCTAGCTCAAGAGTTTAGGGAAGTGTAGAAAAGAAAAGGTACTTTTTCCCCTGTTGCAGTTAGCAAGGAATGCCTCTGGGACTAAAGCTGACCAGAGAGAGGAATTGGAATATTACAAAGGACTTACATGGCACAGTGTATAACTTCTTGGCACTGCTACCAGGCATGTGGGAATTAGAGCTAGCTCTTAAGCCTTGGTCACCAGCCATCTTCCCTGAAACTGTGCCTCCATATTGTAGATGATCTTAGTGCAAGCAGAGAAGGAAACCCAAGCAAAGGAGGGTCATCTTCAAGCTCTAAGGTCACAATCTGAAATACTCCTTGCCTAATGATTTTAAAAATCTTTCTCCAAGCACAGATAATCAAGATGGCTTACTAAGATGCCTCACTACAGAATAGACCCTTGGTACTTAGGTTAAAATTTTACACTGGTAGTGTCAGTACAGAGGCTTGAGATGGCAGCATATGCATGCCATCTCAGGTATTAACTTTAAAATGTCTTCAGTGTTCCTTTAAACACAGTTCTTTTATAAAGCTACACACACACACACACACACACACACACACACACACACACACACACACACCAGATTTAGGAAAGGAACTGGTCTTAGGACAAGTGGTTTGGGCATTAGGTGCTGGCTGGCTGCAGCACGGCCTGCAGTCATCTTCTATTGGCATGAACAGGAGCTGCTGGATCCATAGGACTCCAACACTTTAAACACACACTGAACTAGTGTACACACAGGAAGGTGGGGCATGCTTATGTGATGCAGCAGTCATATATGTTCCTGGGCAAGTTCTCCACCAGCTTTACCTACTGCCCTTAAATATACAGCAGCCTGCCTGACTCATCTGAACATGTCTGCTGTAACACTCTGATTTCTGAGTTATACCCTCCCCAGTTACAAAGGCCTGACACTGTGTCTGCCCTTCCCTCAAGATGCTGCCACCAGATTTTAAAAGTCTTACGAGTACAATACTACTTAGGAGATACATAACATGCTTTAAACATTACTGGGGTTTGTGTGATGATAGTAAGGAGGCATGTTGGTGCACATTTAGAATCCCAGCATTCAGGGGACTTGAGGCAAGTGATTAAAGTTTGAGGCTAGCCTGGGCTACATGAGACCCTGTCTCAAAGTGATTTTTTTTTTTTTTGTTAGTTTTTTGCTTACAAAGCTGTAGAGGTTTTAAGTGTTCTGCCCTGGCTCATTTTTCTGTGAGATTTCATGATATTTTAAATTAGAACATTTATTTAAAATATATATTATTGGTCCAGTGCATAAATGTCATTGTAGTTGTAGTTTTCGTTACTTAAAATTTAATTGTAGGGAATTCTTCACAATTATCTCTGGATGAAAGTTCAAATGTAAACAAATGACTGACAAGATGGTACCATATTACACAGCATCTCAGTCTTAGTAATATGCTTAGAAAATGAAATTTCACAGTATTTTCTATTATACAGCTCTCATGGAGGCTGGGCATGACAGGCACAAGAGCACTCACTGATCACACATGAGTTTTATATTTCACAGATACTTTTATAATTTGCTAGATCAGCAAACCTAGCCCTCTTTGTTCTTAACAAGTAGAATACTTATGTCTCTTCAACCAGTGTTACCTTCCTGGGACCATCTGCTCCAGATAGGGAGAGAAACTGTGAGCAGGTTCTTCAGACCAGGTGCTCACATGGGACACCTAATCTTCATACGCAGCCCAGTTTGAGATAAACAGTGACTCCCACTAGGATGTTCCATAGGGAAGAGGTCACATTTTCACGCTGGCTGTCCAGTTTAGGTGTGAGGGCCTAGATTCTGGACACCATGGCTCTGCATTGCCAGCTTCTAGCACTGTGCTCTGCCTAAGTCCCACCTTGAGTTTTTAGGAACAATTACACCGGCAGAAATGCTAGAGTGGGTAGCAGCAGCGCAGTCACAGGTGGTCTGCAGAGTCCAGAAGACATTCTCTTTCAGATGGGAAACAATCATTTCCTAGATTTCAATTAGACTATAAAGATTTGGTTTCTCTGAGCAAGAGGAAAAACATTTGCTGTTAGGGGAATCCTATGAGAAAACTAGGGGAAAACATATCTAGTCATTGAAAAGCAGCACATGACATAAAATGACAAGCCTTTTGCCATAATATAGTTGCTTTGAGGACCTTCTGAGAGATCCTGGAGTTAGTTATTCTATGCCACTGTGTGGCAGAAATGCAGTTGGAGCTACCTGTGCAATGCTAAAATTTCTCGTAATCACTTTGAAAATGCTTCTAAATTTAATTTTTCCCCCACCAAATATGTCCAAAGTACTATTTCACCATTTTCATTTGAATGACTATTAATGAGGTATTTTGAATGCTGTTCTTCATCTCAGGTCACATATGTCTTGTTCTTATGACTCAAAATCAAGTGACATGAGATTACAGGACAACTATTGGGAGTCAGTTCTGTTCTCCCATGTAGGCCCTGGGGGTTGAACTCCATTCATCAAGCTCCTCAGCAAGTGCCATTACCTGCTGAGCCATCTCACCATCCTTACATTAAAAACAAAACAAATAAACCTGTTCTCCAATAAAATGTTTTAACTTTTCTGTCATCTCAAATGTGAAAACTCTTCTATTCTTTTAGCTCTCACCCTATAGATGCATGCTCAAATTCTCAGTCCAGAGTTAACCAGGATCTTCTTCCTCTGAGCCAATATGAAGAATTCTGCATGCCTTCACTCAGCTGTCCTCATCTGGCCCAGTTTTACAAACACTAGTGCTCTCTGTCTTAACTTGTTGTGGACACACTATTATTCTTGTTTGGCAGATTCAATGGCTATGAGACAACCTTCTCACTTTTACCATAGACTTCCCATCTAGGGCCATTTTTTCTTCTTCAGGGAATGCAATCTCCAGTGCTCCTCTCAAGAAGGCATTTTAGAGTCATACAGCATTGTCCATTGGAATTCATATCTCTCTTGGCCTCTGTTCTTAGACTTAGCTTTCATATAGAATCATGGGCTGTTTCCCTCCAACTCCTATAATGCCCAGTCTTCTAGCTTATACTGAACCTCTGAGACATCTATGTGTATGGTGCAGGTGCTGTTCCTTTGAACACCTTGTCTGTCAGGTTTATCTGCTCCTGGGGTCTTCCACAGCATTATTATGTGGAACACTGACTGCCCCCTCCTTTAAACCATATTGAGAGACCTTTGATGACTTGTTTGTTCTGGATTTGCTTCAGATCTGGAAAATCCTTTTCCTTTGCTGCTTCAAGTTGTTCCCTTTGTCCTTTGTATTCATTCATTTTTCCTTCTGAGTTCTAATAATGAGATAGAGTCTATCAAAACCCTCTCCCCTTGTGATTTTTCTTTCTTTCTTTCTCTTCCTTCCTTTCCTTTCCTTCCTTCCTTCTTTTCTTTCCTTCCCTTCCTTCCTTCCCTCCCACCCTCCCTTCCTTCCTTCCTTCCTTCCTTCCTTCCTTCCTCCCTCCCTCCCTCTCTCCTTCCTTCCTCCCTCCCTCCCTCCTTCCCTCCCTCCCTCCCTCCCTCCTTCCTTCCTTCCTTCCTTCCTTCCTTCCTTCCTTCCTTCCTTCCTTCCTTCCTTCTTTTCTTCCTTTCTTCCCTTCCTTCCTTCCTTCCTTCCTTCCTTCCTTCCTTCCTTCCTTCCTCCCTTCCTTCCTTCCTTTTCTGAGATAAGGTTTCTTTGTGTAGCCTTGGCTGTCCTGGGCTCACTCTGTAGACCTGGCTGGCCTTGAACTCACAGCGATCCACCTAGCTCTGCCTCCCTGTCCCCTTGTGATTTTTGTGAGACACTTCCACTGAAAGGAGAAAGAAAAAGGTACTCACCACTGACCCCAGTGCTGTGTGTAGAAATTCCATCAAGGAGAGAAGTCTGAAGAAGTAAACAACTCACAGTTTCTGGAAGTCCCTGAAATTGAGCACTCACAAAGGCCCCTTCCCGCAAAACTTATATAAACAGTAAGGACTGCTCAGGAGAAGAGACTCTGACTTGTCCAACTACTTGTGTGTTGTGTAGAGGGCATATCCATGTTGTGGTGGGCTTTATGTGTTGTATCTGCCTCTGAGGCATCCATCCTCTTCTAAGTAACCTTAATAAACTCATTGGTTCACCCAGTTGGCCGCTGGTGGCACTGTAACTTTCCTGTTGTTGGTTCCCTTTCTGGGGTGATGAGACACTTTTTCACATCTTCCCAGGAATAGTGTCACACAATACTCAACATAATGTGCCATTACGGAGCAAGATTTGAGGTACAGAATACTGGAATTGCAGCTGTTTTTCAGAGCCCAGCAGGCAGCTCCTAGAGCACTGCAGCTCTTCTGCTGAGAAATGATGGGCATGTGTGTAAGGCAGGAAACTCTTAACTATGAGCCTCTACATGTGAATTTGGTCCTCAAATCTGTACTTAAACAGACAGCATACAGTTTGAAGCTAAATGACAAGCTCATGCTATTAACTTAGAGTATTACTTCACACATTAAATCACAACAATTTAAAAGGCCAGCAAAAAGAGAAAAATTGTATTTAAAAAATTTCTGTGTTTTCTCTTAATAGCTTGGTTCTGTCATCTGGAATATACTGTTCATATCCCTTACATAACTGTCATTAGCTGCAGCTGTCCCCACTTTGTACCTCCAGATCTTGTAATG